TTACAGACCGCCATCATATAGCTGGAATATTGCTGAGTGCAGCGTTAAACAAACAAACAAAAATAAAACATCTGGAAAGCTCAAGTAATATGATAGTGTCTCTCAACATTCACAATTCCTGGGTTTGATTACCAGAAGCTTGATTGTGGATCTGACACTCTGCTGCCATATTAAACTATACCATTGTTAAACCTCCCTTTTTCACTCACTCAGGAGATAAATATATGCAGAAATAAACAATCCTGACATTCAATCTGGTGGGGAGATGGCTCACTAATGCTGCTCAGCTGAGAGGAGGGTGGACGTTTATTTTGAGCTTTTCTTGTAACATGAAGGTTGCGCCTGTTAGTTGGCATGTGGTCCCCATATGGGGTCACATGTGACAACCTTACCCTACGATCTGTCAACTTTTAGTCTCCTTACATGACCTGGTCAGAGGTCAGGTCAAAGGTCACAGGTTGTATGGAGACAGTCACATTACATATAGGAACCATTATCCCAGAGGTCTTGCTGTAGTTTTGTCATTATTAATTGTCATCTTGAAGGTAGTATATTTTACCATCTCTAGTGTAATGTGGTGTGCATTGTTGATCATCTGTAATGACCATACAATCAGAAATCATATACCGATAAATGTAGTCTAACATTTAGTCTCTGAAATGAAATTATTTTACAGAAAAAACAGTTGTTAAATTATCATAGTTTTCAGAATGTGGTAGGGTGTGGAGTCATCCCACAGATGACATCCTTACCTTGTCAGCTTGCTGACGGGGTTAACCTCTTTGGTCATGTGGACAAGGTGTCCGACCTCTGATCAGAAGGTCCGTGGTTCGAATCCCATCACAGGACTCGGACATTTTATGGCCGCGACACAGTAGTGTAGACTTGCTAACTATTGCCTGGGCTGTAGTGGATGAATTTGTTCCAGGGTCTGTATGACTGACTACAGTATATGGTCTCTGATACTATCATCTCAGTTGTATGTCAGCCCGTGATGTTCCGGGGTAGAATACGTCTTCAGCAACCCATGCTTGCCGTAAAAGACGACTATGCTTGTCGTAAGAGGTGACTAACGGGATTGGGTGGTCAGGCTCGCTGACTTGGTTGATGCATGTCATCGATCCCAATTGTGTGGATCGATGCTCATGATGTCAATCACTGGATTGTCTGGTCCATCTACGATTATTTACAGACCGCTGTCATTGCTGGAATATTGCTGAGTGTGGCGTTAAACAACAAACAAACAATTGTATGTCAGTTCATGGAATTAGGTATTTTTTACAAATGGTTTATGGAAAATCTGTAATTCCATTTGTGAATTGCTTACTCGAATGTGTTGCTATAATGCTCCTGTGACTACTTGATCAATTAATCTGTGTCTTTGTTGATCGTTAACTAATGAGTGTGCAGCACATTTCAGTTAGTTTTTTGTGTTATTACCGAAGAGGTCTGCCACCAGTTGTGTATGGCCCAGGTGGCATTTAGAATGGACAGTATGGTGGTATGTATGGGGGTTTGTAGCTTTGCAGGAAATGCTAAAGTAAATCCATGGGGTGACACAATATGTGTTTGAGCTTAACCCTGACACCTGGTTGTGCTGGGTATATCATACACACACATCTGATCCCTGACTGGAGATTATGTCCACCACACTGTGCAAACAGTTACATTGTGAAGAGACTTGGGGCTGCCTACTACATCATATGTCATTTTCTCACCCTGTTATTGGCTGAATTATTGCTGAGGTAGTAAATATATATACTCTAAAGAAGTTAAAGAGCACCAAATTTATTTTATATGACTATAGTTATTCTGTCATGTCATGACAGATTAACTATAGTCATATGAAAAAGATATCAGGTGTTCTTTAACTTCTTTAGTGTATATATAATGAATTTATTATACATCCATGCTGCTAATGACTTTCTTGGTTGCAGATCTTTACAACAGAAGAAAAATGTTGATAAATGTAATTACTTTAATCAGGGTCATAAACTTTTATACTTTTCTTACGAGTTAAGTCAAAAAGTCATGTCATTTGTTGTGAATGTGGTAATTAAGGGAGATTTTACTGTTTCCCTTGTAGTGACAGAATACCTGCCATATTTTGTGTTAGGTATAAATACTGAATGATACAAGACATCTTTTATGATGAGGTTCCTGTTTCCTAACAACTGCTGACCCATGAAGATCTTGGGTAGAATAGGTCTTCGGCAACCCATGCTTGCTGTAAAAGGCGACCATGCTTGTCGTAAGAGGCAACTGATGGGATCGGGTGGTCAGACTCACTGACTTGGTTGATGCATGTCATCGTATCCCAATCGCGTAGATCGATGCTCAAGATGTCAGTCACTGGATTGTTTGGTCCAGACTCGATTATTTACAGACTGCCGTCATAAAGCTGGAATATTGCTGAGGGAGGCATTAAACAGCAACCAAAATCAACACCTAACAACTACGTATGTAATAACCCCTCAGAGGCCAAAGGTTTTCCAGCACTGTTTCCATTTAGCAGTTGCTATATAGCTTTAGACATTCTGATGAGAAGTAAAATATTAACACACCCTCTTCCATTAAGAGTGATTGACTATGGTTTTACACCACTGTTGGCATTATTTCACCAATTTAATGGCACAGGGACACCTGAAAGTGCTTCACACAGTATATCCATGTAGGGAATCAAACCTGGACCATTGGCATGATGAGCAAGCACTTTAACCACTAAGCTACACACCACCAATCTTCTATTATGATTGTTTGTTGTTTAATGCTGTACTCAGCATTATTCACCTGTATGACTAAAGTCTGTAAGACCCGTGAAGATCTGGCGTAGAATAGATCTTCAGCAACCCATGCTTGCCGTAAAAGGCGACTATGCTTGTCGTAAGAGGCGACTAACGGGATCGGGTAGTCAGGCTGGCTGACTTGGTTGATGCATGTCATCGATCCCAATTGCATGGATCGATGCTCACGATATTAATCACTGGATTGCCTGGTCCAGACTCAATTATTTATAGAGACCACCGTCATATAGCTGGAATACTGCTTAGTGTGGCGTTAAGCCACAAACAAACAACTGTAGTCTGTAAATAATCAAGTCTCGACCAGAAATCCAGTGATGGACATCATGAGCATCGATATACGTAATTAGGATACAATGACAGGCGTCAATCAAGTCAGCATGCCTGAACACTCGATCTCATCAGTCGTCTTTACGGCAAGCATGGGTTGGTGAAGACTTATTCTTTCCCTGATCTCCAAGGCGCTTCTTTCACTGAAACATGGAGATGATATAGAAGTGTGACGTTCAACACTACCCACTTGTGCCGCCTCCGTGGTCTTGTGGTAGAGCGTCCGCTCAGAGAGAGGAAGGTCCGGGGTTCGATCCCCGGCCGCGTCATACCAAAAGACGTTAAAAGATGGTACTTGTTGTTAACCCTGTCTGGCGCTCGGCATTAAGGGGCTAAACAAGGGCTGGTCGGCTCGGAGTCAGTATACTGTGTCTGAGTGCGGTATTCATGTTAAACTGCGGCATGGTACCTCAGTGAGCTAGCACTATAAATCGGCATCAGTCCGGACTAGTACAAGCAGCCACACACACACGTGCATCTTGGACGCGACGTTAAACCCAATTTCACCTCACCTCACCTCACCTCACTACCCACTTGTGCCTTCAAACAGTGTCCTTCTCACCTGGGCTGTAGGCCGAGCTCCAGCTGTCTATCAACAAGAGGGCAACTAGTAGCCATTTGTTTCCACTGCTCTTGTAAATCCTACTTACCCCACAGTTTTATTCTTTATGGTGTGTGTTTGTCTATTATAGTGAAGAAGGACCCCATCATGTATGACCTTTATGTGTAATATAATTCTAAAGCTTATCCTATATTCCAGACGATAATGAAATATGAATGACAGTGCAGAGTGCATGGTTACAGTACAATGTTATCAGTAAAGTGAACATGCCTCCACCAATGAAATAGCTGATACTGATAATATGTGTGATACTTGCGTGATCACACAGTAATGACTCACAGATAAAGTAATCTGTGATCGAGAGATGTTTACTTGTCACAGTTCAGTCTCTGTAAACACTCAGTATATATCATAAGGTTTGCAGTGATCATTGCGCCAACGATTGTGTCTTGTGGCAGACAGGAACCAACACAAGCTGCTGGCCATTGGTCACTGTAACATAGCCGTGCTCAGTGGTTAATTCAAGGAGTGTGATATTTGTCATATTCCATGACTTCAAGGACACAAGGGCTGCTGCTTCAATGTTGGTGTTTTTGTATGTGTGTGTGGGCGTGGGCATGGGCGGGGCATGGTGGGGAGGGGCAACAAGCATGGTTTTTGGGTGATTGATATTATGAGCATCAATCCACTCATAGAGAATACGATGACATGCCAGCAAACACGTTACTGAGTCGGAACACCCAATCCACTAAGTCACCCCTTATGACCAGCATAGGTTGTAAGGGGCCTATTCTAACCTCACAGGCTGTTTCAATGATAAACACTGTATATATAGTTTATTGACTTTAGCTCCACAAGTGTTTGATCAACATTTTCCGTTGAGGATTGATCACCATTTGTCAGTCATGGTGACATTCATTTTATGGTAGCTAGATGGATACTGATGATGTATTATTGACACAGATGACATTGTGACATTCTGTGGAAGGTTTTACAATATTTAACGGTTTCTTGCGTGAATGAACGAGCCATCCATCTGCTATACCTGGGCTGTAGGAGTATGGAATTGTACATGTGTCAGAGTTGTGTCAGAGTTATGTCAGAGCTGCCTTGGAGTCCAAGAAGGTATATCTCGATATCATGTAAAGCATATCTTGATATCAATGGGTCTAAGTGTGATCTATATGGTATATATTCATGCACATCACTAAATGGTTATACATGGTTTTATACATCTTTTGCCTGGTTCATACATATGCAGGAAATAATGTGAATTTTCATAATGTTATTATTTGTATCTGTTTCAGGATCTCTTGTGTGGCTAATCTGAAGAAATTCAAGACTTGAGACCAGTAAGTAGGACACCATTAAAACTCATTTTTATCTCGCCCGACTTAGTGAGACTATGTGAGGTTATGTCATGGTGCCCGTCCAGTTAACTTTCGCATTTTTAATGAGTATAAGAAGACCAAAGTTTATTTAAGGCATCCTTTTTGGCTCTCAACATCATTGTCATACACACTGTTGCAAACATAAATGGTTTTTTCTTTTACCTAGAATCTTTTGAACCAATTTTTCTTCAACTTTAACTGTTTCTTTTTTTTTTGAATATGTTTGTTCCAAAATAAGGTTGAAGTGTCATAAAAGAATTTCAGGTGAGCTACAGTGCCTTGTAGCTCTATTGTATGGATATAGTATTGATTATGTTAACATGCTTTAGTTTACACCTTGACCACTACCCAACCTTGGAAGATTGCTGACTGTGCAAGTAGCATGTGTCACTCAGTGTCAATTAGAAGCAGCTAGCTTCATCATTGGATGTTTGACTGCCTTAACACAAAACAAGGTCAACCCTACAAGACAGGTTTTGGTACATGTGTTCCTGATCCAAGTAGATCAATGCTGTAGCTTTAGGATAGCCTTCACCTGCATGGCCCACTTTGCCTGTAGCTTTTAAACAGGCAATAGTCTTTTTGGGGGGGGAATGGACATTTCGTATGTGAAGAATCTCACCTGAGTGTCTTTTGATATCAAATATTTTGATGTAATCCATAAAGGTTTAAAACTCCAAAGCTCGCCAAGGAGTTTTAAACTTTCACTGACGGGATATGTTTGATATTAAATTACACAAGGGTGTGATCCTATTTATGGTCAAAAATCATTCTTCCAACTTTCTCAGTTTGTAAGCAGTAATAATAGAATGTAGTAAGTACAGCTAACCAGCTTCAGTGTCAGAGAGATTAGCGATGTCATTTGATTGTGATGTCATGATAACCAATGATGTCATAATGGTCTGCAAAGCATTGTGATGCAATTTTATTGAAGTGATGTCTCCTAGAACTAATCGCTTGTCCATATCCAAATAATATCTCTTGTGGAAGATAATTGAACATATTGTTGTCAACAGTTTTAAAAAACACCTGTATCTTTTCAAGAGGACAGCCAGGCATGGATTAAATGGTTAACTTTATTTTGCCAATTTATATTTTACATAATGTCTTCGATGTTTTCTTGTGCAAGTTACTATCTCCTTCTAAAACAGTTCTAAACATGATTATATTGCAATTATGTGAAACATCAGTTTGAAAAACTGTGTTGTCAGGAATTCATTTGGTTCCACACAAATTATTGATTGTTTTTTACAAAGTGTTACACTAATCTAGAGCAGAACAGGTTCGGATGTTTTACAGCTGCAAAAACAATACACATAATCACAGACTTGCTGTTCTTGGAAAAACATGCCAGAATTTCAGCAGCAGAAAACACGATACATACTGTATGATAAAATGTTGGTTTGGTCATCCTACTAGTACAGTGCAGGTTTCCAGATATCCTCGTACTGACAACCTGCCACACATGTGTTTGGTGATCATGGAGTCTTTACTTTTACATGTGATTATCATTGAGGCTTTTCTGTAATGTGGTTATCATGGAGTCTTTACGGTAACATGTGTGCTGCATAGCCAGGAGTCCAATCTCCATATCAGACACGTGCAGTGATTGTTTTCATCTGATGCTCTGACCTTAACATCTCTTGTGGTAGGAAAATAGTATCCCGTAAGTTCACCTCATTTTGTAATAAGGAACATGTATGTGTACCAAACTGCTTTGAAGAATTTGGCTCTCACCTTTTAATATATCATGGCTTAAATCATATTATTAATCTCAATTGATAACATTAGTTGTTTGCAAATAGTATCTATTGATAAACAGGACCATCTGTGTTTAGTACCAGTGTTTATCATCAGTCGTGAGGTGTCATCACCTTGATATGCAATGATAATCATATCCAGCTGATTAAATGGATCTAAAGTAGTCGTACAGTAATCAGTATGATAGCTGCAATCAATATGGCCGACTGTTTCTGGAAGCAATCCACTTAATTAGTTATTGACAAGCAGCTGTCAATGTGCTATTGAGGGCATAGTGTAGTATAAATACACAGACCAGGCAGATGCAGGTATATACATGCTACCTACAGATGGGGCTGACATAATGACTGCAATTACAGGTATAACTTCAGTTCATGGTGTACAGTTCAGGTACATACCGTAAATATTCCTTTCAAGGAACACTTAAAAAGTAATTAATTTTATCTGTTTTAGACTTTCAGAATTAGGGACTGAAGGCACATTGATATTGTCTACTTGAAATTGATATTTGGGAAACTATTGTCTATAGTTTAGTATAAAGGAGAAAATAAAATATTATAAATTGTCCAATGTTAAATTTAGTACAATTAAATCTCCAGGTAACCAAGCTCAACACACAGTATGTTTATCTCCACCCTTCTAGGACAAAATTAAATGCAAATTTTTCAGTGTTAGCTTAGATATGTAACTTTGAATACTGTATGATCACAACTCTGAATTTTGTCACCTTATTTGTACAATTACTTGAGAATGACTGAGAAAGAAGTACGTTTCTATATATATATTAGCTTCTGTTTCAATCAGAGGTGTCGATTGTGCTTTTCAGATTTTCAGTGATCCAATCGTGTAATTTTGCCTTTTACGCCAAATGGAATTTGTTTCAGACGATAATTGAGACTGATTGTTCTCTAGTGTATACATTTTATATTTGATACCTCAAATGATGGAATAGTTTTTAAATCTGCTGTGCTTAAGGTTTTTTTTAAACTTGTCAACTTGATGCTGGGATGTTTATTATCTCCTGAGGTGCAGTAAATGTAATAACGATCAGTAATACTCATTACCAATCTATGATCGTATTTACCATCTTTCCATTCACACACTGGGGAAGCCGATGAGGTTATGTCTGAAATAGCCTTCTTGTTTACAGCCATGTGGTGACTGATTTGGAAACATTCAGATATGTGTGCTTTGATGTGGGAGTTGGACATGAGTAAACACATGCATATGGGCTGATGTACACATTCTGCTGCTGGATGCGTGCAGTAGTGTTTGGCATTTTGTACGGGAATATTCTTTCTGGTTAAGAAATGGAAATAAAAATGGACTTGCTCGCTCACTCAGTTGAATTAACACACTCACTCACTCACTCACTCACTCACTCACTCACTCACTCACTCACTCACTCACTCACTCACTCACTCACTCACTCACTCACTAACTCACTCACCGTGTTTGTTACTATAGGTTCAATTTATATCACTAAACCAGCAGGCAGAAGATTTATGATTGTGATTTCAGATATATTCTCATTTTGTAGCCATTGTTATCATGCCAGATTCCTGACGGCGATGCAATGTAACCTGTCGTTTCGACTGTCATCCCCACCTGTGTACATCTTCCTTCAGTTTCAGATAGCAGTGCCACACTGCGGCGCAGTGTAATATTACACCATGCATGGAGTCACAGACTTAGTTCATCTATTTTATGATTCCTTAAAAGATGAGTTGGGATCTTCTTGTAACTCTTCTTTCATGTCTTTGAAAGGTGCGTTGTGGTTAAACATTGCTCAGTGAGGCCAGGCGACAGGAACGATGGCGACATAGCTTTTATTGGCTTAGGGGAGGATTAGGATCCAAATCTGTGTCATTTGAACACAGGGTGATGTTCCAGATGCTTCAATTACAGAGAGGCTGGATGATCAGAATGGCTTAATGTCATTGCATTCATGATACGCTTGTCAATCTCTGCACTCCTTTGTTCATGGCTGATCAGGTTCAGGAGTAACTTATACCTCCAACCCAGAAGCACCGGGGATAAACTGTTGCGTCTAATCTCAGGATGGGAGGATGTTGGTCAAGGAGTAGATGTTATCATTGTGATGTGCTGATTCTTTGTAACCATGTAAAACATCTGGAGTTTTGATTAATCCAATTATTGTCTCTTTTACTGTCTAACATGTCCTCCTTCTTGTCTCACTTCCCTCGCTGGGATTAAATGAATGCAAAACGGTAAATAGTAAGCAAGTATTTGACACTTTAAATGTGAACCTTTTCATCCAAGTTTTACACTATCATTTGGCATTTTGATTCGGAATCCAAGACACGATCTATTTATAGATGTAAACATGTGACCTGTCAAGGTCAACTAGAAAACAGTTACTACTTCCAGCAAAACTTCCTTTTATGGAAGTATGAATGCAGCTTGTTTTGCATTCATCGAAGTATAAATGCATGTTTACAAAATCTCTTGGACAATCAGGATTGAGTAAATTTGTGGAACAAGTTCATTTCATAATTATATTGTCACTGAGGCTGACAAAAGGAAGATACTGAGGTCATGATTTTTTGGACTGGTTTTCATAGAAACATTGTTCGGTTGGTTGTTTTAAGACTACGGCATGGAAATAATTGTGTCTAGTCCAGACACCAGTCTTTGATATTATAAGCAACTTCCCTCACAGTTTGGTTTCAATGATGTGCAATAAACCAGGGTAATGGGACTTACCTAGACTAACACTTAGTCAATGAAAACGTGTCTTTAAGTAATATTAAAAAACATTCTCGAAAAATCCTTTCCTCTTCTGCTGTTTTCATATACAGTAAACTACGGTTATAACGAACACGCCTATAACGAACTGACGGATATAACAAACTTACTTTTTTGGTCCCGACTATTTGCTGTGGTTATGCTGTATATATGCTTATAACGAACTACGGTTATAACGAACTAACATTAGTAGCCCCTTTGTGTTGGTTATAACCGTAGGTTACTGTATGTGGAATGAAGCAAACTAAACTTGGTGAGTTTGATCTAGACTTGCCTAGGCTTTTAGTAAAAAGAAAACACCTAAAAAATACAAATTCCAGTTATGTTGCAGGACTAGTTCCATTTAGTCACCCAGTACGACCAGCATAGGTTGCTGGGAACCTGTTCTAACCCAGAACCACTCACCTCATTGAGGCAATTACAAAGCTGTT